CCTCCCATAGGCCCTGCCTCCAAGTAGCATCGCCATGGGGATCGTGGCTTTAGCTTTTGAATTTGGGGGAGACCCATTCAGTGCACAGCACCAGATGAAGAATCCTGGCTTGCACAAGATTCTCTACTGCAAAGCCTTCAGCCAACCGTTGTGTTTTTCCCCACAGGGACTGGGGAGTCTGTGAGGTCTTTTCAGCGTATTCACAGCCCCAGATACTTGATGCTGGCACTTCCTCTTGATTTGTTTTCCTTTTAGAGGAGACCAGGAGATGGCAAGTGTTTTCTGTAACGGGCCAGATAGTCTCTATCAAAACTACTCAATTCAGCCAGAGACAATATGTAAACAAATAGACATGGCTGTGTTCCCATTGGAAGTTTTATGGACACCAAAATTTGTTTTATATAATTCTCATGTGTCATGGGTTATGTTTTTAAAAATGTTTCAGCCACTTAAAAATACAAAACCCGTTCATGGTTAACGTGCTGTAGGAAAACTAACCATGGGCCCGATCCGGCATGGATAATGGCTCGTTGGCCTCTGCACTAGATCACAAGTTTCTTAAAGGCAGGAGATCTGTGTTTGTTTCCTGTCTCTTATATATAGCACCGGTGTTGGCTATATTGGTATAAAATAAATACGGGCCGAAGGAATATTCGAGACTGTGTTTTATACCCACACAGGCTTTCTCAATATTCTTCCAAAATCTGAACTGCACAGTGGAGGGAATCCCTACTAGAATTTAGGCCAAACCCAGATTTGTGATCCGATTCCAGCACCATTTTGTGGCTCCTTCTCTGTAATCCTGGTGTCCCCCAGATGAAGGCCAACTCTTGCCCACGTTGAAGGTGTCGTTCATGTGCTCCTGCACTTAAAGATCTCAGAGGAATGGGAATTTGCCTGTTTTCTACTGATTCAACATGGCCCTAAACTGGAGGGGGAAGAAAAAGATCACTGAGTAGAGAATTTTAGATTCGTTCTTGAACAAAAAGGAAAATCTGTTTCTGATACTTGCTCTGCCCTTCACTTAAATGTTCAACAACCATAATCATCGTGAAAATCAGAGGAACTTTATTTCTGAAGTGCTTATTCCCTACAGAGATTAAGAAACCACTTAAAGGTACATAGACAGATTTTTAAAACTTGTTTTGAATGGTCTGTAAGTTTGGAGGCACCAGACTTACCCTCCAGCCGGCTGTTGAAGAAGCAAGAGGTTAATAACCACCCGAATGGAACCACTTTCCTGATAACAAGGCAAGATGTTTATGAGTCACGCTTGCCCACCTGTGAAGTGCTGATTTGACTAATAGGTATATTGGCCGAGTACAGGAAAGGTTTTGGCATCTTGCCCAAGGTCATGGACAAATTTGCAATCTCATCAAGCCATGTTCATTATCATGCAAAATATCTGAAACAGGTTTACTTAGAGATGTAGCAGTAGGCCGGGTAAATGGGAGTCAGATAAAACGAAAATATTAGATTCTGTGGACTTATTTTTAGAGACCCTTTTTCAATTCATGGCTTATGATGTCTGATCAATTCAGTTGAGCTATTTTAACATCATCTTGGAGTCCACTTAGGCTTACTTCTTCATTTTTCGGTGACCTTTGTGCACATGAATGACATTAATGACTCAGTATAGCCTACACTTACCTAATGAAAAGCTAATTTCTTGAGAGAGAAGCGGTTATAAGAAATGAGCCCCGGACTTCTCTCTGCGGGAAGGTCCCAACTTACTCGAGGAAACCTCATTTAGACACAGCAGAGATAATGAGCGATATCGGTCACGCGCTAAGTGCCAGCGAGTGACAGAGGGCAGAGTGACAGCTCCTCAGGAGGGACCAGGAACACAGCCTGGCCTCCAAGCGGGAACGCAGACAGAAAACGTTGCAGGTCACTCGGTCACAACACGTGTGCATGCATGCACCCAGACCCTCGTCGCTTGACTCGTGGGTACTGTGGCCTCTGATTGCTGCTGGAGACATGCTATGTGAGGTCTTCCTGCAGGGCAGGGTCTTAGATGTATGTATGCTTCACTCCACTTAGACCTTCTGCCTCTACTGAGTCTTTTGAGGTATAGTACCGTATGTGTATATGTGATAGTACTCGTCGTCATGTTGCCCCTGATCTTTAGAAAAGCAGAATTGGTTGATGTCTCCTAATTCAGCCTTTGGAGGGAGACTTGGGTTACTGGAAATCCTTGGGAACCATTAAGAATGATGCTGAACACAGAATGTATTTTTCTTGTAAGCAGTCGAGAAATGGTGGCCTACCTCTGATGTGTTCTGAAATTCAGGTTCTTTGCGTGGCTAAAATGAACAAATCAGGAGACTCTAGCTGCTGGCGAGGATGGGGAGAGACGGGAACCCTCTCGCACTGTTGGTGGGAATGCAAACTGGTGTGGCTGCTCTGGAAAACAGTGTGGAGGTTCCTCAAAAAATTAAAAATAGATCTACCCTATGACCCAGCCATAGCACTACTAGGAATTGACCCAAGGGATACAGGAGTACTGATGCATAGGGGCACTTGTACCCCAATGTCTATAGCAGCACTTTGAACAATAGCCAAATTATGGAAAAACCCTAAATGTCCATCAACTGATGAATGGATAAAGAAATTGTGGTTTATATACACAATGGAATACTACTTGGCAATGAGAAAGAATGAAATAGGGCCTTTTGTAGCAACGTGGATGGAACTGGAGAGTGTTAATGCTAAGTGAGATAAGTCAGGCAGAGAAAGATAGATACCATATGTTTTCACTCTTCTGTGGATCCTGAGAAACTTAGCAGAAGACCATGGGGGAGGGGAAGGAGAAAAAAAAGAGGGAGGGAGGGCACCAAACCATAAGAGACTCTTAAAAACTGAGAACAAACTGAGGGTTGTTGGGGGGTGTTATGCTAAGTGAAATAAGTCGTACAGAGAAAGACAGATACCGTGTTTTCACTGTTATGTGGATCCTGAGAAACTTAACAGACGACCATGGGGGAGGGGAAGGAAAAAAAAAGGTTAGAGAGGGAGGGAGCCAAACCATAAGAGACTACTAAAAACTGAGAACAAACTGAGGGTTGTTGGGGGGGTGGGAGGTGGGGGGTGATGGGCATTGAGGAGGGCACCTGTTGGGATGAGCACTGGGTGTTGTATGGAAACCAATTTGACAATAAATTTCATATTAAAATTTTTTTCAATGAAATTCAGGTTCTTGGCTGTGTTTTGTCTTTAAGATCTCTAATAGCTTTGTTTTGTTCATCGCATTAATCCCCGCTTCCTATGCCTGACTTCCAGGGCCCCGAAGCAGCCTGCTCTCAAAGATCAGAGAAGCCTACAGAATCTCAGCCATTCCTGTCTGTCTGATCCTTGCCTGGACTCCCCCAGCCCAAGCCCCCCCCCCCCACCACCAGGCTCTTCTCCCCGCACAGGACGTCACCTCCTCTGTCTCCCTCCTAGCTCAGCTTCTGTCAGTTATATAAAGATGCTCCTTCTTGTGAATCTTTTCCTGAATTGGCAGTCCTTTGTGGTTGCATCATCCAGTCTTTGGGTTTGTCTCAAGCAAACAGGTGTTCTGGAAAGGAGCCCGGATTGGGCAGAGGAACTTGAATGTGGCTGGGAGAGCACCTGTGTGAGGATCTTTGTTTTTGCTGATGGCTCATTTTTAAAAGATACTTGGAGCGGAGCCATGCGCATACGGGTCCTTGCTGCTTTGTTCCTTTTCTAGTTAACCAAGCATCCTTTTTCTTTTTTCAACGAAGAGCTGGCCCAGAGAGAAGTCATGTTCTAGTTCCTTAGCTTCAAACAGTTTTGCGAGGAAAAATTAGGTAAAATTCGAAGATAAGGGTTTACATTCGAACACAGCATTCTCTTTCTCATATTTTCCCCCGTTTGCTTTGTGTGTTACTCCCAGTCCCTCCCTGCAAGGCACACCTATGGCCTCATACTCAGCATTTGCCCCTGACCCCTCTCCCCAGATCTCATTCCACACTGGGCTGCCTCTGAGAACTGGGAAGAAGAGAGAATTGTGTTCTTCAGTCTTTGTGTGTTTGGCTCCTTAAACTATAAACTGTCTCCACTCACTTGTCCCGCACAGCCCTTAGGTACCCCACTCCCCACCAGTATGACCTATGAATTGGCTTTCTCTATTTGTATGCTAACAGAAAGTATTTGCTACTAGGAAAACTTGCAAACAGACATAAAAATGGAGAGCATAAGTGTCTTGCATGCCCATTGCACAGATCGTTACCGAGATTTTTAGTATATTCTTTTAAAACCAAAGTTTATCCTACTGGGTGGTTCTGTTACTCTATAGCATCTGCCTTTTTCCAAAACTTGTCTCTTAGTCGTGTGCTCAGTAGCTCACATGGTGTAATTCCGTGATACTCAGTCTGAACACCGTTATTCATTGTCAAAGGCAGTCGTAGGTAAGACTAGACATTAAAATTCAACAAACAGATCGCAGAGAACTTCACAGGACAGCGTCGGGCACAGGTTATAATTTGTAAAATATGAGCTTCATGTGGAAATCATGGTGAAGTCATTATTTCTATCCTATTAAATTCAGCCCTAAACCTGAAAATGGAGTTTTCATTTCTAGTTTTTACAAGTAAAACATGATCATTTGAGTCATTAACACCATTCTGGGTAATTACCAGGGCGTGTTGTGATTAATTGTGAATTTTTCTTTGCTTCCATGTGATGTCCTTCATAGATAGTCTGGAAAGCACTAAAGTTTTTCACTGTGGACTTAGGCATTCTCCTCCCTTAAGGGCAGAAGAGAACCAGAATCTTCCTCTTAGACAATAATACTAGATGGACAATTATGAACTACCTTATGCCAGTAGGAACATTCACTTTCTTAACAAAATGGGATAGCATGATGGGTACCAGCTGTAAATGAAGGTCAATTATTTCCATACTTCTCCTGAATCACTCATATCCCTTCTGCATGATGGGGTTCACAGTTGAAATTGCCTAATTTTTTTTTCCTGTTTTCTTTTTCTTTTCTCCAGCTCTTGTGAATGTGAAACTCTGGGCCATCGATCGACAATGTTTTCAAACAATCATGATGAGGACAGGACTCATCAAACACACCGAGTATATGGAATTTTTAAAAAGGTAGGATGCTTTATTTCCTCCTGCTGAGGGCGTTTATGGTCTTTTCAACCCTCTTCCTGGACAGGCAGCTCAGGGAAGCCTTTTCTTTTCATTTCAGTCTTGATAGCCTACAAATTTGTAGAAGCATGAGACTTTGGACTGGCGGCTTCTTTCTGGTTCTGGTACCAGTTTCCATGCTAAGTGACGAAGTCAGAACTTGGGACATTATGTCAGGGAGTGTGGGTCAGAGAAACAAAGGAGAATTTGCTTGAACAAAAAAGGGGTATTGAGTTCATCCCTAACTATTTATCGATTAAAATGTTGATGGTACCTCTCCGGACTGCATCGTCTCTTGTGTAAGATTCCATGTCAAAGGTCAGGTGACAAAGATGGAAAAGTTCCAAAAGCTCATTATCCTTTAATCCCAAGTTTAATTTCCCCACTTAAGTTCATTTTCTGTTGTAGTTCTCAAATATCAAAAGTTTTTTTTCTTTTGATATTGTATATTTTCATGATTCAGTATAGCATGGGAACTGGGATAAAAAACAGCTTTTCATTTCTTAAGAATACACCGATGTTCACTGAAATGCAGTTCTTTGTCTCTAAGCTTATTTTAAAGAAAATACATTATTTCATCCTTAAAAAGAATATTGACAACTCTGACTTTCTTCCAATAAGTCGCTATTTTGTATTTTTTCGTTGAAAACAGAACCATCCTTAAGTAGTAACGTACAGATTACGTTTGCTAAAGAGGGGCGTATTATCTGTTACAATCGTAATTTCTTAGAGCTAGAATATCAAGCTGGTTTTTTCATAGCTTATTTTTGTTTTTGTGAAAGAAATGGTTTAAGGGGAGGTAGAAAATCGAAATCGCATTTTGGGTCAGTGATACATCATAACAGATACCTGTGGAATTTTCTTACAATGGAATCTTAATATTCCTTACTTGAGTATTTTATGTAGTTCATTTATTTTCTGATTCATTGTTTATGCATATTTGATTTCCACATAATTTGTTCTTTACGTTCTTGCTAAAGGAACAATAAAACTCTAATTTGATGTCAAGTGGTAATTTTAAAATATAATTATCAGGGTGTTGGGATTTTTCTTCAACATGATTGGGTGAAACATTTAGACGTGGAAATGTACTTTTGTTTGGAATTTAGTACAGTTTGCAAGGAAATTATTCAGACGCTGTGTGTGTGTGTATCTATATTTGCGTGTGTTTGTTGATACATATGTGTGTGTCTATACTGGTATGTGTGTGAGAAAGAGAATAGAAAGAATACAGAGACCAAGAGAGAAATATGGAGACAGAATAAATTATCATTTTTAAGCTTTTACTTAAAGTGCAATTTACTGTTTTCTTCTGATGGAACCATATTAGAGAAAGATCCCGATTGGTAATTAATAAAATTCTTACCTGTAGGACAGAGCCTACCTAAGCTCTCAGGTACCTAAGCATTGGGCACTTACGACATAGATTTCCATAATTCCATTCTCTCAAGGAAACGGGGTGTCCGTGCTCATGACCCACATAAGTTTTTCTAAGAGGGGCTGGTTCAGGCAATGAAGTCTCATTGTGTTGTTGCTGGGGTTTTTTGTTTGTTCGGATTTTTGTTTTTAGTTGAATCCGCATATACTCTTATATCTTTTGTATTCACCTAAATTTGTGTTATCTGCTCTGCTGATTCAAACCTTCAATAAGTAAAGTTGGTTCTCCAGAGGGTGGGAATGTATCATGTTGGCCAGCTTAGTGCAGGTGAAGTTTAACTGGTTGAGTTAGAGGTGGGTGCAGACGTTTACTTTCCATCCATCTACTGTCTAAAGAGTCAAGTCCTCACCATTTGTGAAGACAGTGCTGGGATGGGAGTCCAGAGAGGTGACCAAGGGACCATCAATGCCTGGGGCCAGCTTTAATTTCCTTGATTATGACTGTGGTTAACTGGTTCTCTCTGACCCTTCAGTGGCTCGCAATTGCTCTTGAATTATGCACGGCCTCATTAGCTGCAGGTTCAAGGCCCTCACACAGCCGACCACCACCTGCTTTCCTGCCTGATTTCTTCTTGCCCCAGGCAAACCGGACAATTCACTGTGCCCAGGCAGCCCTTGGACCCTGACACAGCTCACTGCCTCTGTGGTCATCATTGTTGTTTTGTTTTGCTTTGTTTTGTTTTTTTCCCCCACCTCCCATCAGTGTTAAAATATTTTAAGATACAACTAAAACCTGCCTCTTGCAAAGATACTAACCTCATTCCACCAAGAAGTAATATTTTCCTGGGGCGCCTGGGTGGCGCAGTCGGTTAGGCGTCCGACTTCAGCCAGGTCACCATCTCGCGGTCCGTGAGTTCGAGCCCCGCGTCAGGCTCTGGGCTGATGGCTCAGAGCCTGGAGCCTGTTTCCGATTCTGTGTCTCCCTCTCTCTCTGCCCCTCCCCCGTTCATGCTCTGTCTCTCTCTCTGTCCCAAAAATAAATAAACATTAAAAAAAAAAAAAAAAAAAAAAAAAAAAAAAAAAAAAAGAAGTAATATTTTCCTTTTTTGAGCTTTGTCTCTATCATGTGTCTCCTTCTCTACTTTGTTTTATTATAACCTGACTATTGAACTTCTACTTTGAGACTATAAACTTGTCATAAATATCTTGGTGCTCGTCTTGGCACAAAACTTACTGATTTGTAGATAGGTAGTTAGTATGACTTTAAGGGCAGGATCAGTACATAATTTGAAGGGCCCAGAGACCAATGAAAATTGGGAGCTCCTTTTAAAAAAATGTCTGTGTGGCTCAGTCGTTGAAGGTCCAACTTTGGCTCAGATCATCATCTCACGGTTAGTGGGTTCAAGCCCCGCATCAGGCTCTGTGCTGACAGCTCAGAGCCTGAAGCCTGCTTCAGATTCTGTCTCCCTCTCTCTCTCTGCCCCTCCCCCTCTCATGCTCTGTCTCTCTGTCTCTCTCCCTCTCTTTGGAAAATAAAGATGTCAAAACCCTGACAGCATAGTATTAAACCAAGCATAGGCATCTTCTAAGCTTGGCCTCTATACTGTTGCCCAGGTTGTACACTGATGAAGCTAAACGAGTAATACTGTTTTCTCCTCCATGTTCCCAGGTTATCCCTCTTTGCTACCACTTATTCTGCAGGGCTGTTAAGAAGTGTGTATACTCTCCCCAAAGGAAACGATAGTGTCAAAAAGTTAAGATGACCAAAATTAACATTTCTATCCTGACTGAAGAATTGTTCATTTCCCTATTGCTGATTTTTTTTTTTTTAACATGCATACCACTCTTTTACATCACGTAAATTTTTTTTAAGCTTTATGTAGTCAAGTCAATCAACTTTTTCCTTTAGGGTTTCCTGTGTAGCAAGTCTCACCGTAATAAAATAAAAATGTGGGCTCAATGCTTTGAAATTTGCCTGTAGCAACCTGTGTGTACAGGGAAAAGGGGTGTTTTTCTCTAATGTGCTTGCTAAAAAAAAAAAAAAAAAAAAAAAAAAAAAAAAAGTCCGTCTCCATTTTTCTCCCATACACACCTTATACTTTATATTGAGGAGTTAAAGGAATTGTGATATTCAGAACAGCAACAGCTCAGGTTAAAGAATGGTCTTCCGTGTCTGCTCACGCCCATATGCCTCTCATCCTGTTCATGTTTCGAAACAAGCAGTAAGCTGTGAGGGCCAGAAATGGGACACACCGGGCATATATAGATGCGCTGAAATGGGAAGATTTTTCTCCGCTGTTTTCAGAGTTGGGTTTTATTTTCATTCTGGTGTGTTTACCCATTTTGGAGCTCCCCATCAGGGGGTCTGGCCTCCCTTTCCACGGATTAAATGCCACATCTAACTCGGATTCTACCTCTTTAATCATATTTAGCCATTTTTCCTTTCGTGCCTCTATTTCACATTCCCTGATGTAAACACAGATGTTCCTCGGCAAGCCAAAAAAAAAAAAAAAAAAAAAAAAAATTTAAAACACACCACACTATTCAGGGTTTAGCAGGGCTGCTAAGCAGGGCACTGTTGCTATAGGTCCTGCGGTGGTTTTGCTGCTGTGACCATCGTCATCTTGGGCTATGGGAAAATGCTGCTTTTTGAGATGGACTCTGAAAAATGAGACAAATAACTGCCCGAGTTAATTCGTGTTGGCTTTTGCTGCACACTTTCCCTGTGCTGCTCTCGGCTCTGGCCCCTTTTCCACAGGAGCAGCAGAAGGCAGCCGTGTGGCCACTGGGTGGGGAGGTAGGGACTGGGTTTGCTCATGGCCTTGAGCTGACTATGATGGTGACACCATCACCCTCTATTTGTTACTTGCCTCGCTGACAAAGGAGAGAACAGCAGGGACCATTTGGAATTTAAGGTACTCTCTGGATCCTGTTCACCCTCAGAAAATGTTTTCTTCATTCACAAAGGGACCTTTTGGTCAGGCAGGCGTGGTGATGTCCTCTTCCTGCCCAAAGTCTGTCCTTGGCTGCTTACCACCCCCTAAGGGGAAGCCTGGGTCTCGAGCGTGGTCTTCGAAGCCCTGCTTTCTGGGGCTGCTATGGGCTTCCCTGGATTCGTGGTGTTCTCCCTCTTGTCCCTCATTCTCTGATTCTCTCTGCTACAGCCACAGGGCTGGCCATCTTTCGTTGCCCCCCTGCGCCATGGCCCCTCCCAGCGGAGCACATCCCGGGAGACTCTTCTCCTTTCGAATGGGAATCTTTCCCATGATGACCTGTATAGCACAGCACGGGGAGTATGTCTGGTGGGGCAAGGAAAAAACAAATCTGATCTCTCTCAGATAATTAGAAACTTCTGCTTTGCCCTTTTCTGAGTTGAAAAAGGCATTGCTGGTGTTAACCACCAAGTTTCATACAGTATTCTGAAAATACAGAATTAGAAAGTTAGGAGATTTTTGAAGGCCTTTGGTAAAACTTTTTGGTTCCCAGAGGACTCTGCCAGCATAAAGAACTTGGAGGTATTTTCCCGGTCATGTGGTGTGGATCTTCTCCAGACATTTCTGATTAATGGAAGCTAAGTGATAACCAAG